AGGGAGCTTGGAAAGCAGCTCATGGCTGTCTCGTTTTCAGCCTCTCACAGCCATCTCCCAGCAATAAATGCCACCCTGCTCAGACGAAGCCACCAGAGCCATACTGGGATGGGAGAAATCTCCAGTAGCTACTTTAGTGCTGTTCTGTGGTATGTGATGCCTTGCCTTGTTGTTTCAGACAGAACCACTCATCCTGAAGCCAGGACCACTCTATGCTGTTGACCCTGACTATGTTCTAAATGAAAAGATTGTGTACAGTATTGTTGGTGGTGAGTAGGTGTTGTCACTTTCCACAAAATGCATTGCTCCTGTCCCCTATGTTTCCTGCCAAGAGCAAGTGCTCCCCACTGCACTTGATTGAGGGCCTGGGATTTTGTCCTCTGCTTCTGCCACAGAAATCTAACTAGATCCACAGAACATTGTGGGTTAAGTAGAAGAAGCAGATTGTACAGAGAGGAAGAAAAAGAGAATTACAGTCCCACAAACCAATTGGGCTCACACACATCTGTGTGTCCTTCTGAATCCCTAGGCAGCACTCCCAGCCCTTGGAGCAGCCAGGCAGGCAAGGAAAACAGCATTATGTCCTAGGGGTATTGTCACTAAGACATGAAAAAATGAGTTAATGACCTTCAGGGCATTTTGTAAAGGAATGTCATGATTGAATGGTCTTTCCATTTTCTCTAGGGAATAGAGACGATGTGTTCTCAGTGGATGCAGACACAGGGAATCTAACGATGAGCAAACGAGTGACTTCCCCAGACTCCTTCCTGTTGCAAGTCATGGTAAGTGATGACACTGCAGACAGCCTTTCTAGGAAGGATTTCTAGGAAGCAGTGGCCTGGATGTGACAGGAGTCAAGGACATTAATAATACCTCCGTTACCCCCTGTCTTTGGGAAGGGCCCAGGGTTTGACCTGGATCTTACACCAACCCACATGCAAAGCTCTTGAACAAGTTGAGACATTTTTCCTCAGGTGTGGGTTGCAACAGCAAAACCAATTCCCCAAATGGGACCATCCTGCTGAGTTGGGGTTGCAGTGGGCTTCAGATCAAGCCTGTCCTCTAGTGTCTCCTCATGAACAGAAGAAGTCTGGCATCTTGCTCTCTTGCTTTCTCTCTCCAGGCCACCCAGGTCAACAATGTGCGGAAATACTCTGTAGCTACCGTAGAGATTAAGGTCATCAATAAAAGCCTTTCCGCACCTCGCTTTGAGAAGACCATCTACCATGGGAAAGTGTTTGCTGGTCTGGCCCCCAGAAGCTTTGTCTTCCAAGCTGGTGAACCTTCCACCCCCCTGATCATCACAGCAGTACAGGATGATTTCCCTGGTGTAAGAAACCAAAAATGCACTGTGCTCTCTCTCACTGCTTTGGGCTTAAAGCAGGGTCAGGAAACATGAGGAAGGAGAGATGGGAAGAGGCAAACACATGTTGTCTTCTAGTGTTCCATATTATATTTCCCTGGAAATTTCACAGAACCACTTATGTGTGGTATGATGTAATGCAGAAAAGCTGCTGGACTCTCCTCTTCCAAAGGCAACACACATGGATCCTGTGCATACATGTGTTTTGCCTGGGCAATGCTAAAGTTGCCAAAACAAGCTGGGTAAGGACTGGGAGTTTTTTGAGTGCTTAATGATACATCTTCAACTCTGAGCAACAGGGTGAACACAGTTGAGTTTAGCCTTTCTCACCTGCTCAGTCCAGGTTTATTTGTTGCGCTACACACCTGCTCCTACATCAGGTGTATTGCACAAATGCTGCCAATGGCTTGTTAGGAAGAGGCACATGAAGCACAGTGTGGTTTGATTATTCACTCTCTGGCTTTTCAGAAGGTCAACCCAAACATCAGGTACTCCATCAAAAACAGCACTGATTTCATAGCAACCACAGATGGACTTATTCTGACCAATGCGGTGCTGCAGTCACCAGGAAATGTAACCATCCAGGTAGGGCAACTTTCTTGATTATCTTGTCAGGATCATGGAAAGAATGTGGAATTCCAGCACTTTTTTTGCTTGGATCAAAGGAAGAAGTTAATAACTTTAGACTTTGTAAGAGGGTGGATGCTCCCTTTTTCCATCTCCCTAAGGCCTGCCTGGCACAGTGCACTGTGGAGCTCTCTGAACCAGCCTGACTGTAGCATTGTGTTAGCTACACAGGCAGGACAGAGAGAGGTGCCCTCATATGCTGCTCCTGCCCCACAATACCTCAGTACCTGTGCACTGCACTGTGCTGCAAACTGTACACAAAGGATGGACCAGAAGGTCATCCATTCTCAGGACAGAGAACCTGCAGAGCTGCTCATCATTTGTGACCAGGCTGTCCAGTTACAACGCAGGGCTGTTGTGAGGATATGGACAGGGTACTTTGTCCTCAAAGGGCCCCCCAGATACCTTGAGAGTGAGTTCGAGAGCTGGAAGTCCTTAAGCTATCTCCTTCCCATGTTCACATAGGCTCTTGGAACAGACGTGGTGAGCCTGCAGGAGGCAAGCACTGTGATCGTGGTGGAGGTCACCCGTAACACAGGTAGGCTGGGGAGGGGGCTCTGTTTTCTGCTTTGTGGAGATGGCTGGGGACTCTTTTCTACTATTGTGGGCAAATTGGCCATGAAGGCTCACCTAGTGAACTCAGTGGACTTGGGCTGAGGCCAACCCCATACCAACAGGAGGTCTAAGAGTAAACACACAACATCCTTATGGTGTCACTGCACACCTCTAACAGCTTCCTGAGACTCTGAGTGGTGCTGTGCATTATAGTGTCTTTTCTTGTCCTTCCAAGGATGATTTTGGGGGTTGATTCATGCTGAGAAATAACCCAGGATGTCTTATCATGGCAAAGGAGGATTGCTCTGAGACCTTGGTCCGTCACTGCTCCTTTTTAGCCAAACACAGATAAAACTGCAACATTCTTCCCTGTCTGAGGCAGAGCAGAGGGCAGTGGGCACACCCCAAATCCAGGTTTGCCCATGAGCCAAGGTACCTTTTGCTCAGGTCAGGTCAGGTTCTGCCAGGATTTTATGATCTTACCAGAAGAAATAACCCATGAGTTGTAAGATAGATAGGAGGCTTCGTGCATAACCCTCCAGCTACTTTTTAACTTTGTTGATGTAAAAATAGCTCACACTTCCATATTTCTGAGAAATGACTCTTAAAGAGGACTTATAAATTAATTGGGTTTGAAGTTTATGAAACTTTTTATGCTTTGGATCAGGATAAACCAATATCATGGATTTTCACATCAGGATAGACAGGTAATGCCCAAACTCCACTGGATTCTACACAGTGATGTGTGATTGAAGTCCCTGGTTGGGCTTTTCCCTTACTTCACCCTCTCATCACCACTGTCATGGAGTGGGGGAAAAAAAGTGGCCTCCTGGGTGGAAATTTGGATTCCCTAAAGGTAGTGTCACTTCACAGCTAAAAACCACCTAAACCCAATGTAAGGGCACAGTCAGCTCAGCAGAAAGCTGGATCAGGTGTCAGCACACAGAGCTGGCCAGAAAGAAGGTGAGTCACGGCCAGCTGAGCAGCCTTGCACAGAGGCACAGGAGGAGTAGAGGGTGGAGGAGTTTCGCAGCTCTACGGGCTGTGGCTCCCCAGGAGACATGATTAAGCAGCAGAAATTCACTGAGGTCCTTAATCCGTCAACAAAGTATTAATGATAAACCCAGGGTGGAATAAAATTCTGAGGAAATACTGAAAGTCCATCATCATAAACAGGTCAGCAGGAGAACAGAGCTCTGTTTCATGAATCATGAAACAGAGTCTCAAAAGAGACTAATTTACACCAGAAAATGAAGCTGGAAAACAAAGAATTCCACTACCGAAGCTGAGAATGTTACTCTCTTACCACTACAGCAGGAAAGGGTTTCCTTCCTGTCCTAATGCTTTTCTCATTTCTTATTATGCTTTTTTATTTCTTATTTTAATGTGCTCATCAGTCTCAGAGGAGATGTTCCAGACTAAAGAAAATTTTGCTTTTTCACACACATGTGTACAAACCAACCTCATTTTTGCATTCTGGTCTAATAGGGTGAAGTGGGAAAGTCAAAAACCTACATAGCTTGACTCCAAGCAGCATCTACTTGCCTAATACAGTCAGATGTATATTAGCTTAGTTAATCATGGAGTAAAAGTCACTGTCCTATAAATGGACGCTGTTTCCACTTCATGGGATTTATTGGAAATGACAATATCCTGTGTGATTAAAAAAACCAACTCTGCTTTTAGGGCAACCAAAAAATGTTCTTCTGTGATATCAGATATATCTTTGTCACATTCTGCAGCACAGGATTCTTCCCTGCCCCTCAAAAATTGATTTGAGCTTCTCTCCCAAGGAAAGGTTGTGTGGAGAAAGCTGACTGACAGTTTTAGCCTCTGTAACACTGGTTTGTTTTCCTCGTAGCTGTGCCCCGCTCTGGTAAGATGTACACTGCTCAGGACATGGGTGTCCTAGGTGGTACATTAGCTGCTCTGCTGTTGATTGCCTTAGTCCTGCTTGGAGTGCTGGTATGGAAATCCAGTAAATGGTATACAAAACCAGTCAAATACCTGATGAAGAAAAAGGTAAGTGCCTTGTTTGTACCTGGATTTCTAAGAGTTAGAAAGTGGGATCTGAATTGGTTTTAAAGTATGGATGGGCTGCCCAAATGG